CCGCCAACAATTCTGCGCCTAATATACGCTCTGCGCCTAATATACGCTCGGCCTTATGCTGAGCTCTTTACAAGCGTTGCTTCATTTAATCCTCAATTTTATAAGATGTTCTTTCTTATCGTCCCAATATTTTGGATGAGAAAACTAAAGCCTGGAGGGGTTAAGTACCTTAGCCAAGGTCACACAACTAATGGCAGAACTGGGACTTAAACCCACGTCTCCTTGACTCGGACTTGAACCACTATACCATGTGTAGCTCATTTTCATTGCTCCCCCGCCCACAACAACAATCATGAGCTGGGACAGATATCATCATACCTCTCTATAAAGAACACAGTCCAAAAATGCATGCATAAACACTTAGAGCAACGTCTGGCACATAATAATGAGTGCTCAATGAAAATTTGTTGTTATTGTTAAAGAAATAATCTGTCAAACTGGTCTCACAAAAAGAAAATCACTGGCATCTTTTAGGACCCTTGACCGATAAAGCAGTAACTACAAATGTGTCTTCCTCTACATAACAGTAGAGGAGGGGGCAGAGGTCAGGCTCGTGTTAAGTTAACACAAGCAAAATAAGTTGGGGGAGTCGGGAGGGTTGGCGTTAATCTAAGGCTCCTTTCCTCAGAATTCACCAATGGAACCAATATATTTATATTTTAACCAATGCATCATATTGATTCCAAAGAGTTACCAGTTTGATTGGTTTGGTAAGATGCAGAACACAGTGCAGGAACTTCCGGAGGAAGAATAAAAAGTCCATCCAGAATGCCATCGATTTCAGCCTGTAGATTCGGCTCCACATTAGCACGAAGTTTAGACAAGAATTCAACGGCACCAAGATCAACCAAATGCTGGACTGCTGGGGGATACTGAAACAAGAAGAGGAGAGTCCTGAGCATAACTGTGAATACCAAAATCGCTAGACGTTTATCTTACTGCAATCAAAACATACAATTATTTTGGTATACCAGATGTTCCTTTTTTAAAAAAAAATAAATAAATCTTGCGTTGATATACCCAAAAGAATAGGACATAGATTACAGAGACACACGTAAAACATTTGACTTACGAGTGAAAAGCCCAGACACCGAACAGCAGAAATGCACACCATCAACTCATACTTTTATTATTAAAAAGATTACTCCTCTCCATTCACGCTATCCTCTCCTCCAACCAGCCAGAGAATGTCAACCTAATAAGAATCACCTACGACTGAGTAGCCATTTACAGCTTTGAAAGGTTAAATTTGCTTTGACATCTGACAATCAGCTATTCTCAGCATAGGCTGCGGAACATGAATCTGACAAACAGATAACGGAAACGCAGTTGAACACACTTGCGCTACTTATCAATCATGGCCTGTAACACGTTCCTTAAACGTGTTCTCTTTCAGACAGCACATCGAATGTTTAACATGTAAATAACAGAATACGAGGAAAACCAGAATGACAAATATTCACCTCCAACGACGATTCCAAAAGCCAGAACAATACCAGGACCCAAAAGTCCTCTGTTATTTCAGAGCGGAGAGAATGTGAGATTGTAACATCCCAAACGAGAGAAANGAACAAAACAACAGCAACTTGTCTGTTCCCCTTCCCCCAATTCCCCAGCACTGTTCCCATCCCCCAAATTCCCCAATAAAAATCTTTAAAAAAAAATAAAATATATTGCCTACTAAAAATATGCATTTGTTTAATTTTTCCATTTTTATTAAGCAAAGGCATAGCAATTGCCAATCTGAGAAAGTGCTCATTCAGAAATGACTCATGTCACCAAGGAGCACATGAAAAGAAACTCTGTGCTTTTTCATGTGCAGAAATAAAACTCTAAGCACAGAAAAGAAACTCTACGTGTGGCCTGAGTAAGGCAAACAAATGTTCTGACCTGCTTCTTGAAATACTAAAAATCATTCCCATGTTCCCATCACTACCTTTCACAGCCACTTAGTACCTTTTTTACTGGTGAAATGCATAGAATTAATAACCAGATTTAATGGCTATCAATGAAGCAAAAACACCTGAAATACGCCAGGTACTGTACCTTTCATTAGAGGACAGCACGTGTCTATCGGTTGTGGTCAGAGGTAGCCAAGGAAACGTAGAAAACTTCAAACACTTCACAGTCTGACTCACTGTTAATGGGAGACAAAACTTAATCCATCAAAGATGACAATGTTGACAGATGCACATTGTTAACAGTAGGGCTTCAGCTTTAACCACGTCCCCAAATAAAGTTACATCGTACAGTAACTAAAATGTACCAGACAAGGTCAGCTGCAAATGTATTCCCTCACAGGATAAATAACAGAGCTCTCTTTTCTCAATTTAAACAGAACTCATATATTATTATGAGAAGAAGAGCAAACCAATATGGAATAACATTTAGAGTTTCAATTACATTTTCTATTTTACTGGCGGACTAGAACACAGAGCTTAAATTTGACATAAAATGAACTGGCATTAGGAGATCTTTAATTGGAGAAATTAGAAATGATATAAACATAATCATACACTATATTTAATTAGTCATGTTCAAATATCCTAAATGGTGTTAGATGTTTAAAATTCTTTAACAATGACTTGAAAACCAAAAAACATCAGTAAGCCAAGAAGATTAAAAGAAATCCGAGAAATCAACACAATTTTAAACAACTGCTATTCAAATTACTTTTTAACAGGTTTTCCACCCAACCAGGTTTATTGAAATATAACTGACATAATATTGTATACGTTTAAGATGTACAACCTGATGATTTGGTACACTCATATGCTGCAAAGCGATTATCACAGCAGAGTTAGTTAACATCTCCATCCTCTCACATAATTACCAACTTTTTCTTGTGGTGAGAACATTTAAGGTCTACTCTCTTAGCATTTTAACAGATCTTATATTGCACGAGTTAAGGTGGCAACACTAAGAAATAGTCTCTACATAAGCCCTTCCACTGCACACATAAAAATGTGTCCCAAACAAGCCATACCATCAACCCACAAGCTGCAATCAGAACAAAGCGTTACCATTTCAAGTGTCCGAATTGTTTTCAACAGCTTCACTCAAACACCCATGTTCCTAGGCCTGGAGACACTCACTCCCTTCAGAGATCTTTATTGTCACTCAGTGAAGCCTCTTGGCCATAAACACAAAGAACCACCATCTTAAAACCAAAGCTCCCTACAAGCCTAACAAAACTTTCCCAGGAAGGAACGGTCAAGTGTTTCAATAGCTGAACAAGTTTTCCGTCCTTTCTTATGCTGTTATTCAACCTGAGAGTTCCTAAAAAAACTGTCTAATAACAGAGGGCTTCCAAAGTGAATTAAATTCAAACTCTGACATCAGCAGATATACCGCTGAACGCAACATTTTCATTTGAACTTCGCAGGCAATGAAGCGTGCAGTGCATGCTTACTTAACCATTCCCTAACTGCATCACCTAGGAGAAAGGTTTCACCCTTTCTAAGCGTCAGTGTCCCCAACAGTAAAATGGAGATACTAATACTATCAATCTCATGGGGACTCCCTGAGGATTCACCTATTCAAAGAACATGTACTGAGTGCCTAAGTCATTTTGGGCATTGTTCTGCACACAGGGGATAAAGCAGTGTTTGTGGCTATCACTAAGCTTATAATGAGGGAAAGAAGAAATAAATATGTAACTTCAGATCATAATATGTGTTAGGAAGCAAACTAAACACAGATAGTAATCACTGGCTAGAGTTCTCGGGAAGGTCTCTTTAAGGAGGCAGCATGTGAGCAGAGGCGGGACACAGCCACACTCGGAAATAACTGGGTGAGAGAGCTCTTAAATCGAACTCTAGAATGCACTGGATGTTGGGGTACAGGTGAATGAAGAAACGAAGATGACCCTGAGTCTTTGGCTCCAGTGACTGGGTGGACAGGACACAGTGAACTGGAGAAAGAGGTGACAAACGCACACTGCTTCCCACAGTTCCTGACAAAGAATCTGCTTTGAATAAGCAGCAAGTACTGCTGCCATGTTTCCACGCACTTAGATGGCTGCTCAAATGCACGAGGAATAACAACACGTTACCGCTTAGGCCCTCTATCCTAAACTAATTCGGGGAAATGGAAACATTGTTTAGTGCTGAGACATTCGAGTTTGACCCCAGTATGTCTACACAACGAGGAAAAGTGCATTCATTTCTGACTTCCAGGTCAACAGACCTATGTCCCTACATAAACATACCCACTGGCGGTAGCGGCGCTTCCATCTGCTGGAAATTACTTTTTTCTTGAGGAAAATACCCTGTTAAGATATCAGGTGGTTGTGGCAATTCTGAAAAACACATACATATACTGTATTATTATTTGCTAAAAGTAAAATTTATTCTTTTCAAATATTAATGTTTTCTCTTGAGTTTTTGAATCATTTT